TGAGAAATTCTTTGTTAGAGAATTAGCCAAATGGATTAACTGTTCAGCAGTAGTCCTAGGTTTCAGATGTCTCTAAAGTTCGATTCTCATTAGACGAGCCGGTCATGATCTAGTCACAGTCAAGTCATAACTGCTGAGAAATATATGGTATGTCTTATAGAAAATAAATGGACACATCTCACAAATAGTGTGAGATGAAATAGGAGTGTGTTAGTATAGGATGAACCCTATTGGGGGTTCGCGGACGAAACTTTAAAGCAGCTGGAAGAATGAGAAACATCTGCATGACTAACCTCTGAGAGGTATCTTGCATAAATATATGTTGGATATAATTCAATATCCAGCATGGTATTATCCGGGGAAGTAGTTGTTTTCCGGCAGGCATTTACCAGAACCTAATGTATAGGTACGTTGGAAGAGACGAATGTTTTGAGATTTTATAGAAATATTAATTTTTTCATTAAAAACTATCAAATTTTGTCATAAACAAAAACATAACTGTTTGTCAGTAGACTCTATCATACTACGGTAAAGTTATAAGTTCCGAGGATTCAACAGTATTGAAAAATTGAAATATACTGGCTATATTTGGTAATTGAGTCCAACATTAGTTATATTTAAAGTCTTGAGATCAAAAACAATGTCTGTGTTCAACAGTCATCATGTCATTAAAAATTATCTGTATCATTCACTGACAAACCGACGCAGGTCATCACAAAACCTCTTGCAGCATTGCTCGTTTGGGAGACATCGTGGCTGTAATCACTAGAAAAAAAAAATCAGCAAACAGGTATGAATACTTATTTACATTTTCAATATTTTGAAAAGACATGAAATAAACAGACAAATAATTATACAAAACAGAAGGGTAGTAAGGCCTACTGTCATTTAAATTGGGAAGGGGATATTTTGAAGAGGAGCTGACGAGGTGATGATATTGAGTATCTCATCCCGGAACATCGAAATACACCTTGAGGGATGATAGTGTTCTTTAAGGGTGAAATTTCATATCAATACTCTTTCATATATTACATTGTGAAGGTGTAGCGTTTCTATGACTGATATGTGGTTCAATTACAAAACGAATGTTCGGAGTAAAATTGAATGGGGAGGAGTGATTTTCGTGTTATTCAATTTTCATATGGAAAAAGTTGTTTTGAAAGAGTTTTTCTTTCAGTTTGTATCTGGAAGAAACGTTTATGCATGCTCTATGTATGATCTACATATCATGTAGAGTTTTTTATTGAAGTTATTTTCTTTTTTTTTTCTTCAGAAGTTTCCTACGCTTTTCGTTCAACGATGGAGGAGTAGAAAGCCAAAGAGTCTACGTTATATTAAATAGGCCTTAATAAGCGCCTACGCTGTCGTAAAGGAATTTAAATGATTTATTATTTGGAACATGATAGTTTTCAAATATCGAAGGTAATAGAAACAGGAAATGGTGAAAACTTTAGTGACAATCGATTCATTATAACTGTAATATCACAAAATTGCTAACCATACTGGTGCCAGATGGCAGGGAGCAAACGAACACGAAGCCACACCTTTGAAGCGACATCTATGACTATACGATTATATTAAATCGCCTTCCTGCAATTCAGGCCTTATAAGCCAACAGGCTTTATTAAACGCACCCACTGATGAACAATAAACATAACACTAGTTTATAAAACATCTGTTGCTAATAAAATTTTAGCTATTACTACACCGGTCAATTGGGATGACATTGATAATTTTCACATAACCTATTTTTTGATATCCTAGATAAAATTTGTACTTTTGGAAGGTGGTTTGTAGATGTGATTTATGTAGTCATTTTATTTTTATATCGTTTCCCCTCTTAAATAAAAAATAAAATATGGGTGGGCAAAGCCACCTCGTGAAGTGGGGTCACTTTACCCAACAGATGTTTTCTTTCTATAACAAAGCTATGAATAAAAGATGGGCAAAGATGCCTCCTCAGGGTATTACAGTCAAGACAAAAGTTGCTCAAAAAATCGAAAATAACTAGTACAGTTGCGAGGACGGCATAAAAGTTTTTAAAATTTTGTAGATAAAATAAGTCGTATTTTTGGAAAACATGTTTCATTAGTATTTATTGTATTATTTGATTTCAATCGCTGTTAAACCGTCCCTGGCATGGGTACGATTGAAACAAAAATTTATATTTTCTTCAATATATTTCATATATTTCAAAAAATAGTAATCGCGAACTATAATGAATTTGAATTAAACGTATCATAATCGTCCCTTGGTTTATAAACAACAATATTATAAACGATAAATACAAAATATTTTAACCGTACCCAGTCTCCCCTAGTTTGAAAAAATGAAAGAAAAAGCATTCAAACGATCGATCTAGCGAAAAAGTTTTTTGATGAAGAGTCCCCACCTTTTCCATTAGACTTCCATCAAATCCGTAGCTTTATAGTGAACTCCTTTGGATCACCGGACCAGTATATCGTGAGACTATTCCGAAAACTTTCATGTAATTCTAGATATCTAGAGTAGAATGACGAAAATAAGAAAAAAGATTCTAAAGCAGCTCAGCAATGAACTAGAAATAACCCCAGCCATTCAGCCACAGAAAGTGATAGCGAGCTATCACAAGATACCTATTAAATTACTATCGATCTTATACATATAACTGAAAATTCATATTACGATAGACCATCTTGAAATGATGCTATTGTTGATGAGTTAGCAGCAACCCTTTTTTATATGTCTTCAGAAAAAAAATTCTAAATCTGACCGTGAATATGAAATGAAAAACTGAAACTCATTTCACAAGATCAAAAAAAATAATTCCAAAACCAGTGGTGGAGTAACAATATATATTAAAAGCTCAGTTGAGGGAGAAAAAGTCCCAGTAACAATTTAACCTAGAAGCCGTCGCAGTCTTGCTCAGAGCCCCTTTTGAAATTGTGTATTTGTAAAATTTACATTTCACTAGACACCGAACTGGATCCTTATGATTCATAATCTACTGGCGGCAAAAAATGCTGACCTCATAAAATGGGCACATGACTTAAAACTGTCCAACATTGATTTCAATCCTTCACAAAATATTGACGTAATAGATAACTTCACTCAGCTAATTATTGAATCAAAAATAGCAATAGGAAAAACCACCCCTCTATCCCCTCTCCAGTGCCTTGGTCAAATGATCGTTACAAAAAGCAATTTGTGAGATCTTAACAAATTGAAACGCCCCCACTCGATCGAAAATATAGTAGAAAAAGAACTCTGAGCTCATAAAAGATACATTATTAATCAAAGCAAGCGAACGTGTTGGGAAAATTATGTCTAAACGTTACAAGAGTAGCAGTAGTTTTTTCAGTAGTAGTAGTTTATCAATCACTAAATTACATGTATTTATATACAAAAAATGGGCGATTAATATAGATATAACGAAAGGTTTTTCAAAACGAGTCTTATTATTGAATTTTCATCAGAGGAAACATAGGTATTGATGATTCACTTAAGTTTTTGGAAAACTTGTCTGCAAAACATCAATATCGAAATTCTTTCCTTTGAAGATGGTCAAGATATAATGTGAATTTCACTAGTTCGCACTTCCATTGTCTACTATATAAAATGATTTGAAATCCCTGAAACAACTAAAAAAGAAGAATTAAAAATGAATAGCTAAAAATAACAATTATATTAAGCAAAATAAACCTGAAATGAAATAATAGTGAAATAAGCTACAAGTAAAAATATAACAATTGAATAAATAAAAACAAAATAAAAATAGAGGAATGAAAAAAGAAAATAAAAATAAAAAGTGTAGAGATTCCAAGTCACGTTAGTTCACGTCGTTTCGATTGTTAGTATTTACAATCGTCTTCGGATGATGACTGGACTGATTCCTCCGAGAGATGACTATTTATAGGTCGTTCAAATACTTTCACTTATCCCTGCTTTCTATTTTCCGCTTCACTGGTTCCGTGGGAAAACAAAAATGCTACAAAATGAAAAATTCTCTCTTGCATTTCCACAATTTTCGATCCACTTGGTTTCCTCAACCCAGTTACAATAACATCAAAAATCATCATGCAAAAACTATGGTTAGAATAGTTAGATTGGGATGAGCGCCTCCCTATGAATCTTGAGTCGTTCTGGAATGAATTCAAAGCAGAACTTTCTTCTTCAAATCTTGTACAAATTGCTAGGCGCGTTCTTTGCAAACGTCCGAAACTAGTAGAAATGCACGGTTTTTGTGACGCATCTCAAATTGTTATGGTGCCAGCATATATATGAGATCAGTTGATCAAGATGACGGCATCCACGTCAACTTGTTGTGCTCAAAGGCCAAAGTGGCACCACTACGCACTATTACAATACCTAGATTAGAGTTAAACGGTGCGCTTATGCTCTCGAGGCTAGCGGAAAAGGTCTCGGATGCGTTGGATACAAAATTTGACAGGAGAATTTTCTGGACGGACTCTATCATAGTGTTGGGTTGGCTTAAAACGCCACCAAACCAACTGAAGGTATTTATAGCGAACCGCGTAGCGGAAATACAGCAAAAAACGAGCTCCGATTCTTGGCATCACATATGCAGCGACGATAATCCTTCAGATTTATTATCAAGAGGCATTAAGCCGGCAAGGTTAGTCTCATGTATGCTTTAGTGGCATGGCCCTTCTTGGCTTATGCGAAGCGAAAATGAGTGGCCTGGAAAAGGCCCAGATGACATTAAAGACCTACCTGAATTGAAGAGAATTGTAAGTTCATTTCATATTGCAAACAAAATTAAAATGATTGATTTTGAAAAATTTTCAAATATTAATAGACTCGAAAGGTGTATGGCTTACATTCTTAAATTCGTAAACAATGCAAACAGAATACGTGAAAAGCAAACACTACCCATAACTCTGAATAATCTCAAGGCCGCACGTAATGAACTTATTAAATTAAATGAACTTAAGAATTTGAAAACTAAAATGCTGCTTGAATCGGGAAGTAACATCCTCTCTCTCAATCATTTTCTTGACGAGGAGGAAATAATCAGAGTTGGAGGAAGAATAGCCAATTCCAAATACCCCTTTTCTAAAAGATTTCCGATTATACTCTCACACAAACACCATTTCACAAAATTATTGTTCAATGACGAGCATAAAAGGCTGTTACATGCCGGTCCA